GGCGGGGGAAGGTGAAGGGAGGAAGGGAAGAGGGGGAAGGGGGAGGGAATGGGCGAAGGGAGGAGGGGATGGAGGACGGGGAAGGGGGAAGGAGGGATGGAGGAGGAGGAGGATGGGAGAAGGGGTGGAAGAAAGGGTCGATGGAGAAAAGGAAGGTCGAGAAGAAGAGGGAGAAAAGGGGAAAAGAAGGTAAAGGCGAGGAATGAAGGAAAGAAGAAGAAGGAAGTGAGGAGGGAGGAGGAAAGAGGGTAAGAAGAGAGGATGGAAAGGGAAGCAATAAATGGAAGAAGAAAGGTAGGAAGAAGGAGAGGAGTGAAGAAAGGGGAACGAGAGAAAGGGTAGCAAGGGGAAGGGAGGACGCAGCAGTAAGGGGAGAAGAGGGAAGAGGTAAAGGATGGAGGAAAGAGGGAAGAAAGGGGGAAAGAAGAGGTGAATAGGGAGGGGGACGAAGTAGGAGAGAGAGACCGAGACAGAGAGAGAGACAGAGACAGAGGAACAGAGACAGAATAGGAGGCGTAGGGGGGGGGAGAGGAAGGAAAGGAGGGGTTTGTGCCAGTCTTCTGAGAGCACAGAATAGGGGAAAAAATATATAATTTTTCATTATTGTTGTTAATATTATTGTCATTATTATTATTATTATTATTGGTGTGCTTGTTATTATTATTATTATTATTATTATTATTATTATTATATTATTATTAGTGTTGTTGTTGTTATAACTGTTATCACCATAACAAAAGAACAGCAAACAGACGTCAGTACATCGAACAATTCAAGTTATAGCGAGTTAAGAGAGGTCAGAGCGGGGGGGGGAGGTGGCAGCGAGGAGGCGGACACAAAGAGGGAAAGAGTAAAGAGGGGAGGAGGTGGAAGATGGGAGGGACGGCAAAGAGGAAAAGAGGGATAAACAGAGGAGGAGGTGGAAAATGGGAGAGGAAGGGGCACTAAGAAGAAAAGAGTAAAGAGGTTAAAGAGATGGGAGATGGGAGAGGGGGCGGCACGGAGAGGGAAAGAGGGGAGAAAGTGGGAGGGGAGAAGAGGAGAGAAGAGATATTGCCGTTGATATTAGTGTTGCTTCACGACTTCCCGTCACGATCCAGTTCAGTTCTGAGGGAGAACATGTAGAGAACTTTATTTTTTCGTTCTTCCTTTTTTGTTCTCTTGTTCGCCGTCGTCTTCTTTTCCACCCTTCTTGGTATTCTATGTTTCTTCTCTTTCATCTTCTTTCTCCTCCCTCTCTTTATCTCCTGTAATTCTTTTCTTCTTCGCCCTCTTTTCACCTCCTCATCCTTCTTTTGCTATTTCTTCTACTTATCCTCCTCCTCCTCCTCCTTCCTCTCCTCTCCTCCTCTTCTCCTCCTTCCCCTCTCCCTTCCTTATAATTTTCCTATGCATCTACCTCCTAACCCTCCTCCTTCATAATCTTTCCTTATCACATCTTTCTCTTATCTCAAAAATAGAGAAATAAATAGATAGATTATTCATAAATACATGAAGAGGAAAAGGCAATGTCACGGGTTCGAAGTGAAAAGATAGTAAAGAAGCAGTAGAGGTAAATATAGAGGAGAAAGTTGAAAGTAGAGTGTGAAGAACAGAGAGAGAGAGAGAAGATTGAGACATATACATATACTATATACATATAATTATATATACATATACATTATATATTATATATATATATATATATATATATATAAATATATATAAATAATATATATATTATATTATATATATTATATAAGAGAGAGCGAGAGAAGAGAAAGAGAGAGAGAGAGAGAGAGAAGAGAGAGAGAGAGAGAGAGAGAAAGGCGAGAAGTAGAATTGCAATGAACAGGTATATGATTTACGACTTAACAAAGAACAGTTATTGCTCCTCTCGTGTGGCGAAAGAAATGCAAGATTGGCAAGAAGTTATTTTATTGGTTGTAACAGTAGCAGCGTTACAACGAACGATAGTGGCAACGAAGGTAAAACGTGACGGTTATGATATTCCCAAACCAACAACCCCATATTAATATATAATTATATTATATCTATTTATCACTATATACTATATTCTTTCTATTAGTATATCATTTTTCTCCACAATACATACATACATTGTATTATATGCACTAACTTATACTGTTATATTTATTATACTACCCTATAACCTTTGTATATTATTATTACTTATTTTTTATATTTTATTTTTGTATGTGTGATTTTGTTGTACTTGTTCCTCTCTTATTTTCCTCTCCTCTTTGTGCTGTGTTTTTGTGTGTTTGTGTGTGGTGTGTGTGTGTGTGTGTGTTCTCTCTGTATGTCTCTCTCGTGGTGTTTTTAGTATTGTATGTATTTGTATGCATGTATGTATGTACGTCATGTCTGCGTACGTGTGTCTGTTAGCATTACTATCGCGCCATTAAAGTCGAAAATGGAAGTAGACGGTGACATCCAAAATTGGAGTTATGGGAGTCTAGAACGTAGAAAGTACCCATTGAATGTCCTCGTTACGGGG